ATCTGCAACTCTTAAAAATCTGTACTACAGTCACGAAATATGGACAATCAGTTTTTGAATTTTAGAAAATAACTCAAAACATGCTAGAAAGAGTATTATAAAACTTTTTTTTTCATAATATATAAAAAATCCTATCATGGCTTGTCTTTTTTTTTTTTTCTTCTTAAGTTTCTGGAAAAGTAGAAAACAAATTCACCAAAGTTTATTTTATCATGACTTAATAGTCTGTAATTTAAAAACAAAACAAAACAGAATTTCAGAATGCTAACCAGCATCTCTTTGTGGGCTTTCCATATTTTAAATTACTTAGGTCCACTTTAAATCTTGAGAGCTCAGTTTTGGTTACTAAATGTTCCAAAGGATTCCGAAGAGCTGCCTAGAGTTTAACCCATCTGATGCTTGTGGTTTTATGGGCTTTTTAAGAATCTCCATGGCATGGCATAGAAGTTTCTCTAAAAAATCTGGAAAGACTGTGACACAAACAATGTTGATGCTATAATTATTTTTAGAATGTTTAAAACCTGCAAAAGTACTTTTACATATTTTGGAGTTAAAACACACACACAAAACACACAGCAAAAACTACCAGGAACGATCTACCTTCATGATGCTGATGGTGCTTATGTGAAAGCAAACATTGGTTACTACATAATCTGCACATAGGAATATGGCATTTTTATAATAAACCCTAATCAAAAGCAATTCCTGCATACATGCAAGCAAACACAGACACAAAATGTGCCTATGAGATCCTACACTAATACAATTAAGAATTAATTGATGTCCATATAAAACATTATTTTCCTTTGTCCCAAGAGTAAAACAAGACATTGTTATATCTAAAAAGATGAGAGTAAGTGTGTGGGACAGATTAATGGTACACCTAGCCCATTATTCTGTCTCCAGTAATAGCCAAAAGAACAGGTCACAACTGCGTGACATTTCTTACCAATACTCTTCTGACCTGCAACTATTTTCATGTCAGGGGCCTCCTGAACCATTATATAGTTTCTGTTAATTTAGCAACTTTCAGCACATCATTCTTCCAAGCAGTAGTTCAGGCTCCCCTTAGAAACCACATCCCTTTCTAATATCCACAGCATACTTTGGAAAAGTTGTCCCACAGGTCTCTCCGCTTACCAATTTTATGGAGAACCTTTTGAAGGCTCGGGAGCAGCCTTCTCCCTTAGCTTTGTATGCTCTTTTCCTTGTCCTTCTACTGTTCTTCACGGCTGGCTCCCTTCTCCATAGTAAACTTGCTCACCCACTTGCTCATCCCCTAACTTACACCATTTATGAGTGTGATGAACAGCACAGATCTCTGTGGAATCTAAGTGGGACACTCCTTTAATTGAGAATGGACTTTTTACTTCTACCCTTTGATCCTACCTTTAATACGTCATTTATCTGTGCAGAGACCTAAAGACACTCCCTCCTGCATTATAGCTCCTTAGTTGCCTTAAAAAGCCTTTTATATAGTTTACTTGGGAGTTTTGAACCAGAACATCTTTAATTCTCACTGATGCCTCCAAATAACTCCAAAAGGACCCTAAAACAGGACCCTAAGAGTCTTTGACTCTTCCCAAATAATCATACCTACCCGTGTGGCCACTGACTTCTATGCTTTATTGTAGCTTCTATCAAAACTGACTGATGGAAATTTCATATAACCTGCTGCAGGCCTGCCTGTCTTGGACCACCCCCAAAACTGTTTTGCATCCTTACCTTTCAGAATTTTTTTCTAAACCTGCATACTTTAGGATATACCATTTAAACAACATAATTAGGTTGCAGAGCATAACCAGGTAGACAGAAATTTAAAAGCTTTACTTTTCTGAGAGTCATCTGCCCTGAAACACAATACAAGATGTTTTTAACAGTTTCAACAATCTGTCAAGTAAAAGGGTTCCTGCTACTGTGGTCTGCCAGGTGGAATTCACAATGACACTGGTGAACTGAAAACAAACTCCACTCACATCTATTACCATACAGCATAATCTCGTGCAGCTAGATCTTGTCCGGCTCAGCCGGAGAGAGACAGACCAAACTGGAACAGCACAGAAGAAAAGCAGCCACCAGTCACGCTACTTTGTGCTGTGCTCATCATTTAAGCTGAAAATGTAAAACTTACCAAAGAGCTCAGCAATTTCACTTGAAGGTCTGCTATGCAGACAGCACAAAGGAACTGGCTGTACTGGAGAAATTAACAGGGTGCCAGAAGGCAGGGACAGGTTTTAAATAGCAAAGTCTGTAAAATAAGCATGGGCTAGAAAGTCAGAAAACGTTGGACTACAACAATCCAACCAGTGATTCATCGTTTGGGCTTGGAGAAATCCTCCTACCCCACCACAATTTTTGCCTGCTGAGGGAAAAAAATCACCTATCTCACTAACACAGGCTCAAGAGGGGCAAGGTGGTGGGAGGAAGTGTTTGAAAAATTGCAATAGCATACAGAAGCTGAAGTGACTGCAACAGGGAGAGACCATTCACAGGAGAGTTAGATTTGCCTCGTGACGTTAGGTTAGATGGTTAGGAAGCTCACATGTGGGACAGACAACTCCTAACAGAGAAATAAAGTGACTGAGAGAAGGGTCATCTCCCCCCAGTACCCATGCCACATCCTCAGTTTACATGGTGTGATATGCAGCAGCCCAAAGAACACAGCAGAAAGCTGGTCCTGTCCTTACTCACACAGCCAGAACAACAGGGCCTGGGGCTCAAAACTGTGACAGAAAAAGCATTAGCAGTGCTTTTTCTTCTTCTTTTTTTTTTTTTTAATAACCTCAGATTTTTATATGATTTATTGGTGCTATTTCAATTAAAGCATTGATCACGACTCCCCCATCTCATCTGCTTCTTTTCCCAGCCCCCAAAGTAAAGCAAAAAGTATGAAAAAGAGTGCCCAATTTCTAAGCTGCAGCAAATCCTCCAATATACCCGACAGTCAACAAACTGCTGCTCTATCTGAAAAGAAAATAACTTCATAGATCACCACAGCCTTACATTAAATAAAAAGTGTCACAGATAGTCAACATGGCGTTTGCTACTGTTGCTATAGCTCTGATGCTGTGTGACTGTATCATACAACCTTATGAGCTAAAACACAAAAGACTGAGGAGAGGATAAGTAAAGATGCAGAGTACTTTAGGTGGAAACAAGACATATATTGAGAGATCCAATGGGTTCTGCTGCTTGACATCTCAGGCAATGGCCTATTGCCACATGTATGCGAATGACTTAAAGAGCATGGAGCAAGGGACAATATGCAGCAACAAAGCAGATCCCTCTTCAAACTTGTCAGTTGTCTGCAGCAAAGCTGTTGTCAGTGAGCCTTTTGCAACCTGTGCAGTGCAGGCACTGCAGGTATTTTTGATTCGGTTCATACAAACCAGCTTCATCTACGCAATGCTGTTAGCATACACACAACCAGCCTGCTCTGCTTATGCAGAACCCACAGAGTGCTTGCATGCTGTTAAGAGAGCATCCTTGCTAATGAGATAAAGACATAGCCCTGCATTTGTTCCCATTTCCCTATTTGGTGTGCTGAGCAGTTGGTTCACAGTGCTCTGCTGCAGTTTGTCATGCAACGTGCTTTGGGGTGCATACCTGAATCTCCAAGAATTGAGATGTGACGCCAGATTGCTGAACAATTAAAAGCACTCATGTGTAATTTAGACCTAGACAACTGAGCACAGCAGAGGGAGGTGAAGCCAGGCAGTTAGTATCCGGAGCAGCCACCTGGAGAGCAACTTTTGGGATCAGGAGACTGGCAGCAACTGCTAGTTTCAGGCAGCGAAGGCAGAACTTCCCAAAAAGTCCATACAGAGCCTGCCCTGGAGCTACAAGACTAATCTGGGAGCTCCTATCAGTCTGATGAAATGTCATCAGCATGTAGTCACCAAACAGTTTTGCCATTAATCACCAGATAATCAGCTCGTTACTGGCAGGGCAACCAAGCCAGGAAGGCTCACAGCAGCGTGAGGAGGTTGCTCCACGGCCCGTCAATGCGCAGGAGGTCACGTACAGCTCTGGAGGGATAGGGCTGCTCGCTGGCACAGAAGCAGGTGGCGAGAGACAGACCTCTTCCCTGCTCGATCCCCATCTCTGCCTCCCAAACACACAGATTTAGGACTTCATCAAGACAGAGCACTCCCCCACAGTCCTGCCAGACACAGTTTATCACAGTAAGCATTCACCAGTACTAATATTAGGCGGTCTGTGGTGAAAAATCTGCATTCTGCAAAGTCATTTTTGCTCTCCACAATCCAAGACACCGGTGTAGTCAAGAGTTCTCTATTTTTTTTTAAAGCAACTTAGTTCAGCTTCCCTGATTTCCGAGCCTACGTGAAGTGACGGTAGAAACACACACACATGACTTTGCCTTGAACAGCTGCAGGCTGCCAGCAGGGCAGGCTTCCAGAAAGGTGGAAGGAAGACGGTGACAAAAAGGATGGAATAAAAAACAGTCTTATGACTGTATGGTATGCAGCAATGTTTCACGCACGTTATGGGAAAAAATCCTGGAGGGCAGATGGAAACATGAAGTGGAGATGCTTTCGCGAGTCCCAGAGTACATTCCTGTAACGAGCTGTCCAACAAGACGCCTGAGCTCCTTTCCTGCTGCAGGGAAAGTAGCTGTAAACTAGTGAAAAATTTGCCATCAAAAAGGTATGTTTTACTTTAATTTTATTTTTAAAATGTTGTGACAGGGTGAGCTTTACATTAGTCATGCACTCAGTTTGTGTTTCAGACAGGTGTTCAGAAAAGGGATTTATTTACTGATTTCACTGGTGGTACTTTTTCAATAATAATAATAAAAACCCTTAAAAACAGTAGGTTGTGCAAGGAGTGAGATCCCAAATACTGTCAGGAAACACCTTCTAATTAACTCAGCTAGCATAGTGGTCTCCTTATGGAGCATCATCTATGCTTTGCTGGGTGCTGCAGGTAGATGTGAAATGCTTGGTCAGTGTTTTGCTACAACTGTTTATGTTTAGCACCTTTGTATTGCCTGTTTCTTGTCCCCTTCCAGAACTGCACAATCCATTTCAGTCTTCCGGGAGTTCTCCAGGAAACCCTCCTTTCACCATTCTGCCTTTGCCACCTCACGCTGAGCTGACAATTTCAAGGTTCAGATCCACCTTTCATTTATCTTCTGAAATCTGATGGCTATCTTTTAGCTAATAACTCCCCTCTTCACATGGGCTGCAGCTTTTTACGTGCTAAGAGAAATCAGAAAAAAATAAAGTTACCACTCACCCCACTTATTACAAGCTACTTCAATAATGCTGACTGGTTTCTTCCCTCTCAACCACATCCAAACTCTTTTCCTCCCAGCTTTTCTTTTCACTGTGTTCCCTTCAAACCTGCAGGATGCTTTCCAAATTACCTCCACATACTACATATGCTGTTGTGTTTTTTTTTTTTTCTGGGGCATGCGGAATGGGTTAAGTTGGTTGTTACTGTTTCAAAATTTGAAATGGTCAGGCACTGCTGCATAGGCATTTGAATGTAAAGTTCTGATTTTTTATTATTATTATTTGTATAGAAAAAAGACAGTTGGGATTTTATTTGTAACTGTGCAAACGTGCAACTAACTGTCCTTAAGCTGAAGGGTATTACTCCCTGGCAAATTCCTGGGAAGTGCAAGGGCCTCATTTATAAAGACAACAGGCAAAGAGGGATAATGCACTACAAGGTTACCTGCTAACAAGATAAATGAACATTTCCTAGAAGGAAAAAAAAAAAAAGGAACTCCTTTACCTTGCCATATTTGTGTCAACCCCCCCTCCCACGCACTCTTTTTTTGTGGTTCCTACAAGTTACTGTAAAGCACAGTGCAAAATTAAGAGAAATCTGTCCTAGTTGTTACGTTTCCACAAGCCCACTATGCTAAATAAGGTTTTAGAAAAGCAAAGCAGTTTGAAATTCCTCGGGCGCTTCACCCTCAGCACGCTAATGAAACTCAGCGACAGCGTGGCTTTAGATTTGAGGCTGCATTAAGATTTATAAACACTCTGAGCATGACTAAGGTCTGGAGCAGGGGGGCAGCATAACCAAAGCTGGGGAAGGCTGTGATTAGTGAGGAGGAAATGAGAGGAGATCAAATCAGCTGAGGAAAGAGGCAGAGGAGCGCAACTCGTGTTTGGGACTTGGCACAGCAAAGAAATGAATTGTTAAAGCTTCTACATCGGCCTGAGGAGGAGGATGCCATTTCAGTAGGTTGGGGGGCAGGAAGCAAGAGAAAGAAAACCACACGATATGAAAAATGCACAAGCACCAAAAACCGTGATCAAGAGCTCTTGTATTTGTGGGGTCTGGTACTGAAGAGAGAAATTTAATAATCCCCATGTCACTGGCACAGATTGTCACAGATGGCACTGACTAGGAGGAGGTCAGACCCACGCTTAGAACTGAAGGGCAGCTCGCATGGGCAGAGGTGAGGGGCGCAGACAGGAGGAGGCAACACGAGTCCCATGTAACACCACCCATCCTCTACGACCTGTGCCTCCCCCCAAAACAAGCTACCCTCCAGCCCCCCAGTCCCTCTCTCCTTCCACCCACATGAGGGGCCAGGATGCTGGAGAGTGTGGGTCCGAGCTGTGCCCTGGCTCAGCTGGCATGGCTTTGCTCCTCGCCACATCTAGCTTTGTGCCTTCCCCGCATAGCCAAGCACCCCAGGGAAGGCAGGGAGAGGGCAGCGTGCTCCCAGGTATGTCAGCACCGACAGTGGGGTCACCCCTCTGGTCCTTCTAAACTCCTCCAGACAACAACCAGGGCAAGGTAGATACAGGATGGAGACCTGGGCAAAGAGGACTTCATGCCACTCCTCATGGGATGGGGCTCTTACACAGAGAGTAGGGAGTGTAGATAACAGGGGAAGGAGAATTGGAAGGTACAAGGAAGCTGAGACAGCAAAGCTTCCTTCAGCAAACCAGGACTGACAACTAGGCAAGGTTAGCTGAGTGAACGAGCCGAATTTACTGGGTTGCATGTGCAAGAATTTGGGGATGGCAGGGAAGGAGCACCAACTGTAAGGCTGTTATTCTCCAGTGAGGTAGTAAGAGAAAAGAAGACACGCAGGGGTCAGAGCTGAAGCACAGAAGTTTGGAGGTGGCCGGTGAGAGCACATACGTGTGGATGAGGAGCCTGCAGCTTATAAAGACACGTGCCTGCTCCGAGCTGAACGGCGAGGGGAAGGCCGCTACCTGCGCCAGGACGCTCCAACCCAGAAAAAGTAGTTTAAAACCCTGCTGCGAAATGATTGTGCAATTGGGCATGCAATACTTACTGGATCGGTTTCCTCCTCCAGCCTCTGCAGGATCCTGTAGCTGTTTCTTGAGTATTGTTCGCATCTGATGAGTCACAGTGCTTCCAGCAGGCCCAGGCCGGGCCGGACAGTGTGGCATAGGTGAGGCTACTGACCTTTATTTGCTGGGCTTTTACCTGGTTGCCTTGGGCCTCTGCTGTGGCATTGTGCACCATCCGGGGAGAAAAATAAATACATCACTCCTGGACTTGGTGGCAATGTCACCAGCAAAACCCCAGCCTGGGGAATTTCAGAGGGCACTCATCGAGAACCCCGCTGCGTTCCCTCGCCTTCTGACGCACCCTTTGTGGTCTTTTGCATCAAAGCTTCCCTGAGGCCATGCCCAGGTGTGCCCTCTGGCTTTCACTTACACGGCAGTGACCTGTACCAGTCCATCCTGCAATGATCCTCCTCTGAGTAATGTCAGACCAGAGGCCACATGATCCCAGAGCCTTTGCAGACCCTTCGTGACCAGTAACTCACCACAAGCAACCTGTTTGCAGCCATTACCACAAGTACAAGCCAACACGTCTGGTGCATTTACATCCAGACTGGACAATCCTGGAGTGAAGGAGGACACGGACAGGGAGCCAGGTGGGAAGAAACAGAGTGCAGAAAACAAACTAGCACATTATAAGCTAGTAACTCAAAGAAACCTCAGAGAGGAAACTAACTCACTGCGCCGGTAGGCCTTTTAGATACGACTTCGAGAATTAAGTTCAGCACACACACGGCACTGACAGGAACTAGCGTGGTCAAGGTAACATCCTACTGCAGACAGAACCACAGTAGATTGTTAATTATTTCCCAGTGATCAGGAGTCCAGACATTCTTTCTCACTGCCTCGATTTTAAGGTTTACAAAGGGACAGTTCTGCACGTTATTTGCTTGACTGAATCCTACGTTTCCGTACTTAGGAAAGCAAAACAGAAGGAAAAAGAAAAAAAACAGTAAATTTGTCATGCCGTTTTGATTTGTTAGGGCAAAGCTTTATTGAACATACAGAAAAATATCATGCAGAAGGGAAAACAAAACAAAAACAACAACGAAAACCCAACCCCCTCCCCCAGATCATTCCTCATCCTCGGACTTTAACAGCCCACTCTAATAGGTAACAGGAACGGGTTCGGGCACCTGCACTGACTGTTTTCAAGTGTGTCTTCTCAAGCCACCGAGATGCCAAAAGAACGGGTCAGGTGGACACACATCTCAGGTCTGATAGACCCTGGTCCCGCTTCTCTGATACCACCTTCTGTATCTTTGAGCAGCGGTGCTCGGATGTGCTGCTTATCAGCTGGTGCATTTTTATCAGCTTCCAATCCTCGCTTAAATAAAGAGACAAAACCACCTTGATCGTCTGCCCTCTGAGGAGTATTCCCTTCCCACGCAACCTGACCTGCCAATTCCTACCCCCGGGGCTCCTGCAGCTTCCCCAGCACAGCGCTACCATCCTCCTGCAAGGATTTCACCTCGAAAATGGTAAAACCTGAGCTTCATCTCCATGGCTGCAAAAGCCTGTAGGCCACCAAGCGTTCAAGTTTTCTGTTAGATACACAGGCTGCTTTTTATTTACGAAGGCTTGGATGTTGAGCTGACCCCACCACAAACAAAAGGGGTATTTATTTACAGATATCACTAGCAATTTACAAGAAAAAGTAATAAACAGGTCACACATGAATGTGAAGATGTCTGAGCAGCTGAAGCGCTGAGCAGCTAGCAGGACATTTCAGCTATCTCAGTCAACTTCAGTATTGCATCCAATGCTCTATAAGAGCGACAGATCGCTAATGCCAAGTTAGTCATTTTCAGTAACAGTTCTCATGGAATTTTTTCCTTCTAAATAATCAAAACAATTGGTCATTGGACCTTATAAGGGAAAGTGCCATCCCAAACGGAATTTCATCAAATACAGCTGGTCTAGCTTTGTGGTTCCCCCTCCAGTGCATCTGCAGCACCTGAGTATCGGGGCTGTGTTTTATTTCGTGATTTAAACAAGATGACGAGATCATACTATTAAAATAATTAGCAGTAGACTAACTTGGTCACATAGTTTCAACTCTTCTTATGACAATGAGAAACATCCGATAATACCACAGCATAGCGATTTTTAAACTAGTAAATACAAATACTTTATTTTTAACAGCAAAGTCTTAGCCTGTGGGATGTACTGCCAGGAGGCAACAACGTACAGTCAGGCAGACAACACTTATCTCCAACTGGATCATCCCGAATTGTAACGCGATTTTAAGAGGGCTTCAGAAAAAATAATAGCAACCCTCTTTTTCCAGGACGGGATCCAAACCAGCAGAGAGTTAAGAGAGGATTTGCTCCTCTGTGTCTTACGGTTATACCACCCCCTGCAGCATCTGATAGCTGCTAATATCAAGACAAAACACAAGGACTAGACAGAACGGTAGTCAGAATTCCTGCTGTGTCAGATCTATAGAGGATAACACCTTTGTGAACTCCAAGGAGCAGCCTCCCATCGCTCCAGAGCGTCTCCTGAAACACGCAGTTGAGCTCGCCTCGAGTCTAGCAAAGTATATGTTTTAAGACCTCGGGCACTGGGACACCTGCCAAGTCACAACAAATATGTATACACAATCTAATCTACTTAAATTTTGAGTGGAAACTCTGTGCCCTTTAGATATATCCCTCAAGGCTACGAATAGCTTACTTGTTAGACAGGATGAAGTTTCCCTGTGTAAGTAATAACCCAGCTCGTCTGGCATCTAACCACGCCTCCCGGCTCCTTCCAAAATCAAAGATCGAGGAAGGAGGAGGGATGGGGATGAAGGTGAGGAGATAGACGAGGAGATAGGGGCGAAAGCAGAGTAAGGAAGAGGAAACAGACAAATTATAGGTGGATTAGGAACAACAAGGCTCCCGTAACAGAACAATCATAAGGAAGCAATCGCTTCCCTCCCCTTTATTTGGCAGATGACAAGTCGGTTAAAAAACAAAACAAAAACGAAACAGGGAATACTGTGAACGGGGGAGGAGGCGGGAAGGGGGGGGGACTAGAAAGTGAAGTGAAGCAAAGCAGAGGCAAGGCAGCAAGGTTTAACTGCAAGGCAATGCTCACTGTCCAACAGATCTGAGCACAGAGAGGATTATTCACAGCCTTGGTATGGTCACCTTTTCTTAGGAAAAAGTGTCCAGAAACCAAGCCAATGAAATCCTCGGGAGCCCGTGCTGGCTTCTGCAGCTAAAAATAAAATTAACAGGAGAATAATCAAAAGAGTTTAGTGTACAGATGGATGTAAATGAGCAGGGGCATGTCGCGCCAGCACAACGCGGTAGTTAAATAACTGTGGTGCTTTCTAAAACGAGCTAATACTACTGTTTTTCTTTAGAAGCAGGTGACCATTGTGTTTGAAATTTCATACAGCACTTGTTTTCATGACCTATGAACCCTCTGCTAAGAAAAGCTAAACAACTGGATAAATTTTAAATAAGGGATCTTTGCATTTGGACGCTCTGAGAAAATTTTCACCGGCAGCCTTGTTTCCTACCACTGACCAATCCCTTATAATATAATAGCTATTAATCCTTTAAAAACCTTGGTCTAATTGCACACAACAGTGGACGGGCTTATCTGAAGTAAACCCGGTGCGATTACACACTACTTGTTTTAGCAGGTTTTATTCTACTCTTAACAGATAACGTTACAACTCCACATTTCCCAGTGCAACCACCCTGCTTACACAAATCCGAGTAGCAGAGGGCAGGTGAGGGAGATGTGGAGGTTCACGCCCATGCCACCGATGTTTGTGAGTGCACAAACCTGCAACCTTTAGGAGAAAAGAAAGGGTTCATGACAGCAAGCACTGGGTAATCCAGTCTGACAGCACGGCACCCACCCAAGCTTTCCGTCAGCAGCAACACACGAGAAAGTAACACACAGACTTGGCTGTAGAAATTAAGTTTCTTTCCGGCCTCCTATCAGATCGCAGAAATCTGCAGGAGTAACGAAAGGTATGCATCTCCTCCTCCTGCAGAGAGAGCTGGAAGCTCCTCAGACTGAGCCACGCGTGCTACGTATTACCGACCACACGCGAGACACTTGTTTTGTTGTCCTCCTCACCCCCAGCTGCTGAAGGGATGGGTACGCAGCAGCCAAAGAGAGGAAGGGTTGTGTGGAGGAACGGTTAAGAAAGGCAGCTCAGTGCTGGGAAGAAAAAAAAAAAAAAAAAAAAAGGTAGAAAGGCCTGATGATTTCTGTGTCCCTTTCTGAAACCATCTGTGTCCTTACAGCTTTTGGAGGGGCCTGTATCCCCTGTATCCCAAATGGGAGCTGAGAACATCAGACATTTGTATTTCAGCCTCACTCTTGCATCAGTTGCCACCAAAACTTTGGGGTTTGTAGCCGAAAGGCTGTACGTGCACGGATGAGGGCTGCTACTTCACTTCAAATGCAGGGCTGTGGGAACCAGCACTGAGACACCTCATGCTTTTTTTCCTTTTTTAATTTTCTAAAAACAAAACAGTGAAGAATCACTCAGCGTGGGTATAGATACGGTACAGATAATTGCTGGCAGTTAACCTCAAGGCCTGATTCCTCATCAGATTTGATATCTGACTTGGCAAGCAGCTTCAGCGGTTACGTTCCCCTCTCTGGAGCGGTCCCAAGAGCCGAGCAGCTACCTCCAGCATTAGGTAACTGCGCCCAACCAGCGCCTTGTTTACCGGGCCAGCCGCGGGCAGAGGACACGGTGCCCAGCCCGTGCCCCGGGCTGGCCAGACACAAGCCACCTCCTGGCTGCGGGCCGGGGCGAGGCAGCGCCAGGCTGCAGGGACCGCAGACGGCTCCGAGGACAGAGGGATGGAGGAGCAGCACAGTGCCCGCAGCTCAGTGGGGAGGGTGAGAGGCACTGGGTGGCTAAATCCATGTCACCAGGGGCACAAGCACTTCCCTGAATGAAGCCGGCCTGCCAAACGCCCACAGCAACCACTAACTACAAGGAGAAGCAACAGCAACTGTTTCAACTGGCTACTCCCACTACAGGGAAAGTGAGATAGAGGTTCACAGCCCTCGGTTCACAACCAGAGGCTGCTGCCAGCCTCCGAGAGCAACACGGGGCCTTCTGGAAGGTGAATCAATGAAAGAAACCCAAGTATCTGGCACACGGATGTAGCACCACCTCTGATATT